GACGAATTTCTAAACCCCCATCCTCCTGAGCACGTTGCAACTACAGAACCGCTCGAATGCAAAGCAGTGCTTCCTACCGGCGCATCATGGGGCTTCCATGTCCATGATGGATCTACAACACCAGTTTGAGAGCCAACACCTTCCCACACCGCAACACCACCATCTTGTGTCCCTGCCCAGACCTCGAAGGATGGGAACTCAGTATAGGGATCGCCAGAAAAGACATCCACCCTCATCTTCTGCTGTGTAGGTGCGCTCCGACCTCGAAGGGTGCAGAGGAGTTCACCTGTTCCGCGGACATCATACACAATCAAACCAGAGGCATGGCGCTCGTTGAGGATCATGTATCGGCCGCATGGACTCCAACGGACCTGAATAATTCCCTGGCCTCCTATTCCTCCCGGTATGTCCTCAGAGCGAGGAAGAGACCAATTTGCAATAACCTTGTCTGAGCGGTGCACATCATACAATCCCATCCACCGCGTCCATGTCCCTGCAGCAATAATAGAGCTCCCGTTACCATCCACAGGCGAGGAAGCGAGAGCAGCGACAGTGCCCTTCATACCAACTCCATTTCCCTTCCGTATATGACGTCTAGAAGGGATGGTGGGTATAGTAAGTATCGGACCATCTGATCCTGGTCGAGTCATGTCAAAGTAATCAAGCCGGTTCGTTGAGCCGACGAGGAAATGCGTCCCGGGTGCATCCCAGAGGATAGACGAGGGCGTGATATACTCTTCTGTTTCGAAACGAATTAATTTATACGAAGCAAGTGGGGCAGAACGCGACGCGAGGCCATCATTATCTGGAGGGAAGAGATGATAGAGCTGGACAGGGTGATCGCGACATCCTACGAGGACTGTTTGCGAGGTTGGCTCAGCTAAAGAGTAAAAGGGCGCCGGGATGATCGTTTGAGAGGGCTCAGGGAGTGATATTGAGGATTGACACTCGAGATGTCGTGGGTGCGAAGCTGATGGGTCGAGGAGATCTTCAGGGAGGACAAAGGTGGATATTGAGTTTATGGCAGATGATACAATGAGCGATGTTCCATCGGCAGTCCATTGTGCAGATGTGTAGTAATTTTGTCTGGTGGTGGAAGAGTTTTGGTTGTTTATGTCATTATCAGGCTGAATGATTTGATTTTCAGCGATGAGGTTTAATGATGGTGCTTTTTGCTGCTGATCACGGTCCCTGTCCTGATCCTGCAGATCATTCGGCTGTAACTCTGAATGTGAGGGCGCTGATTCAATTGCCGATTCAGGATCATCCATGTTCATGGTGTAAGTTGAGTTGAAAGTTGCGAGATGGTGATGGGCGAGAAAATGAGGTCCATGAGTGGAGACCTTGACTTTGTTTGACTGTCACTTACTCCGTGCACCTACGCTTATCATGATCCTAGCCAATCTCTAATCTCGAGATATGTCACATCCAAGGGTCTTTTTCAGTTGGGCAATTCAAGGGTCCTGTGACATTCGCTCTATTGAAACAGATTTTGAAGGACCTCTCGCTGCAGATCAAACAACTGAGGCCATCGTCGACTGTCTCATGTATCCTCATAGTAACGTCATATGGATTGGCGCCAAGCCCCCCGGTAGACAAAGGATCTCCTCAGCGGCCTCCGACAAATCCAAATGGCCGTATGCTGGCCTAGTTCTCTTCTGCAGGGTCCAGTGGGTGACTACACAAAAAGGGCAGCTCGAGATCGCCGTTTTCCGTCTTGGCAGTTGTTGTGAAGAGTAGAGTTGAAACAGGCCCTGAATACAAGTATATTCCAGGAGACATAACGCTGCGTCCCAGTTTCGGGTCACTATAATTTTAGGCTTTCAGCCCAGCCCTGCCAAGGTACAGCCGAAGAAAAGAAACACGCGAGGTGTGAATGAGTACCAAGCGGAAGTGTATTTTCTCTATTCGGGGATGTAGTTGGACAACCTTGGTACTAAGTTACAGTGGGAGATGGATCACCACTTGGAATCTTGGATTTTGTGCCCCTAGTAAGGTACCTATACCTACAGTACCTACATAGTAGTACGTTGGAACAATTCAGGGCAGGTGCTCGAAGGTTTCCTTTTAGAGCCACCCGCTTTTCCTTTAACTTTTAGGTAAGGAAGACAGGAAGGAACAGTCTCATATTCAGCTTGAGGTGGTCGTCATTTGATTACATTGATTTTCCTTTCTTTCTCTCTTTCTTCCTTCCCTCCCTCTTTTTTCTTTTTATCCTTTCTCCATCTCATCTCATCTCATCCCATCTCACCCCAATCCATAAGAAGCATCTCCCTTTGACTTCAACATACCCAAAGATAAACTGTATCTCAAAACTTTCTCTTCTGTTCTGTCTCACCAATCATGATCTCCTAGTTCAGCTGGCCAAAACGGGCAATTCATATCCTCGTATCCTTGACTATCGGTCAGTGCCGACTTGCTCGGCTTTCCACTCCAGTTCCAGCTCCAGCTGCGCTACGCTCTCTTGAGTCTCTTCTACAACGCTGCCCCTCCCCACGAAACACAGACAGCCTCGCCCAGAAAGACACCGACTAAAATAACCCATCATACGTCACTCCCCAGCAACGCAAGGCGCCCGACCTTCTATCATTTCTCTCCACGCGAGCCCGTGCCCAAAACCAGTCCAAAGCTGAGCTGGGCAAACCTCTTTGACGAGAGACGACTGGACCCTGGCGCTCCTTCGCCTGATCTCGTGATTACTTGTGATCATTTTCTCTTTTGTGCCTGCCAGGCTTCTCGTGAGCTTCTCTCTCTCTCTCCCTTGCGACGCCTGCTGGGACAAATCTTCAATCGTCCTCTCCCGAAGTTGCGCGGCCGTGTTATTATACCCTCGCACCCTTCATTTTATATCCGCCATGGACGTTTTTGCTCCAAAAGACGACCAATGCGACCGGCTCAAGGCGCCCTCGTATCTTGAGCTTGTCGTTTCTATGTATGGCTGCGCAACCCCTCTCTGAATTTGACGGCATGTGTCCTTGTTATTAACCTTGATGTTGTAGCGTCCTCTTACTCGGCATTCTCGTGTCCTACCTCCCTCAGCATTATCGCATTATCTCCCGAGGCACCTCCGAAGGCATCTCACCTTACTTTGTATTGCTTGGAACCACTTCCGCTACTGCCGGTTTCGCCAATATCCTTACTGTCCCGCCGTCTCGTGCTGCCATAGGATGCTGCAAAGAGCTCGGTAGATTTGAATGCGCCGCCGGTCTGCTCGGTGTTGCGCAGCTAGGCGCTCAATGGGTTTGCTTCAGCCTCATGTTAGCCTCCACACCCAGCTCGATTTGTTTTCTCCACTGACATTTGAACAGTCTTGTCCTTTTCCTCATCTTCTTCAGATATAGAGAAGCCAATGTTCCACCAGAGGATCTTCGTGGCGATGCTCCCAGATGGCAGACCGCTGTCATGGTTGGACTACTCTGTGTCCTTCACGGCCTCATCGTGATTATCCTGACGGGTGTCTTTTTCATTGCTCTGCCCGATCATCTGGTTTTTTGGGCCAACTTCCTGGGAATCATGGCTACAGTTCTCGCCGCTATCCAATACGTACCTCAGATCTGGATGACATACCATTTGAAACATGTCGGCAGTCTGAGCATCCCCATGATGTGCATCCAGACGCCAGGTGGCTTCTTATTCGCAGGAAGCCTTTTTGCCCGTCTGGGCTGGGAAGGATGGAGCACATGGTTCATTTACTTGATCACTGCATCTATGCAAGGATCAGTCCTCTTCATGGGTGTTTACTACGAATACATGGCGCGGCAGCACGGCGGCCATGCCAACGGCCACATCGACAGCGCACCACACTCACCTGTGCAATACTCGAGCGCGCCCCGAAGGCCCCCGCCAGGCAGCAGGACCTATTCTGAGGGTTGGGAGCGTGGTCTTCCAGGACCTTTCACCGGTCACCCGGAGAGGTACGCGGAAACGGAGGAAGACCTGCACGATATCCAAGAGAGAGAAGAGCGTGCCATCGAGCGGGAGAGCCAACCATTGTTAAAACCGGGCGGTATTGGCAACCCTCACAGGACATACGACGCCACCGCCGAACACTGAGGAACTCACCTCTCTTACCTTAGGTTAAACAAGACGAGTTCAGGGTCAACAGCGAGCATGTGATATACCATGATTATTTGAGGTATTTTATTGGTATTTAGTGTTTACCTAGGATTGCATACTTTTTAGAAATGTACATTTTCTTCTTCTTCTGAGCCGAGCCGTCCGAGTTTGACTCATTAAAGATACATATTACGGCGCAAGGTATGTGTGGGGGCCCTTGATGACTCCAAGTCAGCCCGGCCAAGGTTGAGAGAAAGCTTGCCAACAGCATTCCTTGTCTCCCTACGCGAGATAAAGAGTAATATCATGATGCTCTGGACTGAGCCAACTGCTTAGGATGAAATCATGCTACTCCAAGTCAATGCTGAGATATTGCATTCTACCAATGAAGCCTCGAGTAGCGGTCATTCTCAGCATCATCAGCTTCTCATGACAGAATAGAAGAAGCCTGGTGCCTGGGCCCTATCATGGCCCTAAATAAACCCCCCGCTTCCGCGGGCGACGGGTGACTCGCATCGCCTGCAAATGCGGAACTGGGTGTCGCTGGCTTGCCCCTGTGGGATGCGGTCGAGCTGTGATTGGTTGATTGTGTCTAATCAAGTTGAATGAATCACCGCATGTCATTCATGGTTCCTATCAATTCCCGTAAGAGGTATGAGACAGGAGGGGGAGGGTCTAGAGATGCCCTGCAGCGTCCAATCCGATGCCGTTGATCAATTAAACCACCATCTCCCATGGTTTCTGTCCTTTCTCCATTGCCGGAGCCATTTCTCCTTCTTTCTTCCATCTCAAGACCTAGAACCTAGAGATTCTTTCTTTCTCACAATCGAACCTAGAGTCTTTGTCTCAAGACATCGTCGAGAGTTTCAATCAATCTCATATTTAACCTAATCCTTATCGTAACTTACTCTATCATCAGCGCCCACCCCGCGAGTCTTATCATCATGGCTATCTACAGCTCCGTCCCGCCACCCGAACAACAGTCGGCCTCAAATACTCCTACTCCCGCGGCGACAAATCCACCGCTGGCGGCTTTGCACGTACATTCACCTCCTACGCCAGTTAAGAATGGGAGCATTGATATCGATGCTTGGACTGTTTCGGCTCTTCAATCTCTCAGTGTTTCTCCGATCGCGCGTGGAACCGGCACTCCTCTTGCGATTCCTCTGGATGAAGTTGTCAAAGACAAGTCCAATTCTCCCGGGCGCAATGTCAACCTTGATGAAGATGAGGCCCCGATATCGACCCTGAGACGACCACCTTCTAGGAGGGATAGCCAGCGAAAGCGGGATTTGGTATTGAAGGGCAAGGAGGGCAGTCGCCAGCGTCGTCGCTGGGAGAATGGTATGGCTTTATCATTGATAAGGAAGCACTCCGAACTCGGATCTGCTTCCTTTTGCGCAGCAGCATACTGATCGTTGGCCTCACTGTGTTAGACCGCTTGATGGGCGTTCCGAACGCTCAACCGCCTCTGCCTTCCGATTACGAAGTCCATCCTACTCATCCGATCCACCGAGTGCCTTACCAGCTTGCTCAGTTCTGGGACCGTGGCGTGCGCAAACAGGTTGAGGATAAGACGGCCCGTCTCCTTGCTGAACGCAAGAAGCAGCAACTCAAGGCTGGCAGCGCCACGGGTCTCGGAGCTGGTGAGGTTCCTCGCGACCTGCGCGAAGCCACAAAGCGCAGTCCTGTTGTGCGCACCTGGGTGCGGTCCCTGGAAGAGCCTGTGCGACAATATCTCGCTAATCAGCAGGCTATGGCCACAACGTCAGCTGTCACTGCTGATGAAGACGATGATAGTGCAGCTGAGCAGATGGACTCGGACGATGAAGAGATTGTGTTCGTCGGTAGGAACGGCGCCATGAGGGAGCTTAGAGAGAGGAAGGCAACATGGAAACATGCGCATCGTGAAGTATCACAGGAGACGGTCGACTCGGGCATGCTATTTGACTCGTTCGGTACCGACGAAAGCGCCGCCTTCAAGTGAGTATCGATATCGAAGGTACAATGCGCCACTAACAACCTCTAGGCGCTGGCTCACACATACCATCTCTGACTACTACGGCATCCAATCTCGCTCCGTCAATCTTTCGAATCCCACGCGCCGAGTAGTCTATGTAGGTCTAAAGACCTCTCAGGGCGCCTTGCCTTTACGAACGCTGCCGCGGCCAATGTGGGAGGTCTGTTGAACGATTTTGAACATTTTGAGGGTACCTGATCCAACCTGAATAGTGTTTGAGATGCGTGAATAGACGTACAAGCGTAGACTGTAAGCATGGGTATGTATATAGGGCAATAGAAGCGATCTCACTGAGCTCGGTGGGCATAAGTCTGTTGTGCTGCGATGTGATATTGCCTAAAGCTGCTCATTGTGATCTGTAACACGCCCTTACCTGCGCACTCGAGTGTATCTCTAGTTACCTGTCCATGGATCGACAAGTCGGGAGCTCTTAGTCTTCGCAGGTAGGTCTAAATGTAGGTAACTCATCATCGAGTACAGAAATATTGTGCTTCAGTTACTCCGTACATTATCTGTGGTAGCCGATTACACCCACTCTTGGTCCAAGATTCTCGAAACATTGTTTAGTACTCTTCTCCCTCCCATGATTTGACCATATTTGGAAACTCTTTCTTCTGCCCTCATACTCAAAAAGCTCGCAAGACCTCCTTGACCGTATTCACATACTAGCAGGCCTGCTATTATTTGCGCTGCACTGATATTGAGACCAGCACGGCGCAGGAATAATTCCCATGCACCATCACGAAAGTCAAGGAAAGGCCCAAATTGATGAGCTGATGAAGAATAGCGGGACATTATTGACAAAGCCCATTTAGAAAGTGTTTCATCGCAGCCAGAAACCAGATGTGTTGATATGCCTGCTCCAAGACTCGTCGTAAAACGTACGAAATCAGCATACCCAGAGATATCAGAGGGTGTTGGTGACCCAACATATTCTCCTAATGGATTCGATTCTGATACCAATACAAACAAAGATTCATATTTCTCGCTTACTCGTCTGACTCTTTCACGAAACGGTGTGAGAGCACTGGATCCAGGAAGAGGTTTCTGTTTCACTTTTAGTACCGTAGTCAATATGAGGCCGGCACCAGGGCTCATGGATATGTCAGCCTCAAACGCCAAAGATGAAATGATTTCCCTTCTTTGAGCTGATCCAGGAGACCAAGAAACTGTGTTGTACTGCGAGAAGTCTCGATCGATGAGCTCAGCTTGTGGCCAAACTTTCTCCAGGTAAGAGAGAGTACTGCGACTCAAGTCTAAAGAGACTATGTAGCGACAAACCTCCTGAGGAATTTCGACATTAGGAACCGGAGCGTCTTGCAGCTCGCTCTGGGCCTCTTCTTGAATAATGGGTAGTGTTGTAGGATCAGCCATGGATGGCATGGCTCTTGAGGCTACCGAAGTTTGAGAGGAGCCGCTGCCTTTCTTCAGCCTTTTCGGTTGTCGAAGCTGCATGAAACCAGACAATAAGCTGCTGGACGCACTTAAGTCAGTAGCCTCCAGCAACAGATTCTCCCTCTCGCAAACAGACTTATTTCCTGTACCCTTTCGTAGGGAACCTATCAGTTCCTTCAAAGACGGTGCAACATGAGGCTTCTGAGATTGAGAAATAGCCGTCGAGCTGTCCTGATTCCCGTGACAGATTAATGGGGATGACGCCATTACCGAAGCGACTTCTTGTTCTATCTCTTCATCATTCAGGATTTGGAGCACAATTAATAGGTTTCGAGAAACTACGTAGTTGCGACTGCATAGTTGGGGACGCCTTAGGGTAAGCAGTTCTCTCGCAGCAGGTCCTAACTGAATTGCTGCCTCGGTCAATGAAACTTGGCCACTTTCATGAGGGATTGGTGTCCATTTAAGTGATGCCTCGAGACGACTCAGGTCCTTGTAGCAGGTCAGATGAAAGTCCCTAGGAAGTGATTGTTGAAGCCATTCAAAATGACCTCGCGAAGTTGAAAAATGTAACAACCATTCAGGATTAGGTGTCTGAAAGTCAACTGCTGGTACCCGCAATCGAAACAAAGCGTCTACTGGGTTCAATCGGTCTTGTTCCAATCGTTGATTTGCCTGGTGGTGTTTCTCATCTAATATAGACTGCAATGCTTCTTCGAAATATCCCCCGTCCTCAGTTGGAGGTTGGGGTGCTTCGTTAGGATGCAGGAAATGAGGTGCCAAAGTTTCTGCAAGATTACCCTGCACTGGACTGTTGACAGTGCTAGATGGTAGTATCGGTGTGTCTAACTTGAGAGCTGAATGTTTCTTTGCTGTATTGGACAAGAAGGCCGCCTTAGCTGTCGGAGGAGAGCTGGGCATAGTTGAAGGCGCAGGAGGTTCGGAGTCCACAAAGCCATGTTGCATATTCCAATCTAGGTCCTCAATTACAGGATTGGATGGGCTGCTCGGTTCTGAGGTCAGATCGATCACCATATGTTCTCTGCTTGGCAGAAATGGTTCGCCCAAGTCAGAGGCAGGAGAAAGCGGAGGAGACACCGGCTCCAAGTTTGAACGATAATGCTAACGAAATCAGACCAAATTTTGAGCTGGCCCATCCTGACTCACTTTATCTAGAGAGAATATGTGTCTGATTTGGTCTGGCGTGCAAGTCTGATTTGGTGTCTGTTGTGTATATAACGAATCGTGGTCAGATTCCGTAAATGAAGGCTCATCACCCTCCAATTCACGTAAGGCTAATGTTTGCCATCGTGAGATGGTGGATGGAAAGCCAAGGCCTTCATCTTTCTCAACACTGACCTGGCTTAATGGAAGCCACTGGGTCAGGATGTTGCAAGAGCTTGCAATCTGGATATCTTGCAGATATTGTGATAGTTCTTTTTGCAGATCATGCCCTGTATCTATACTTTCCGATGGTAGTCGAAGGCTTTTTGTTTGGCCTAGGAATCTAAATATAGAAGAAGCAGGGACCTTAGGGTCTATGGGAATTTCGTAGCTTTCGTCGTCGAGAAACGGCTGTAATGTGATCTTCGTGAGAGGTAAAGGTGCTGCAGTTAGTCCAGGCTGGTCAATTAACCCGTTCGCTTTTGCCGGTTCCGCAGTTTCTCGAAGCTGCTTGACGATGTCTCGAAATCGATATGGGGCGCCGTGATGATTATGGAAACATTGGTTGTCAATAGCGTAATCGGTAACCTCTCGACTTATGGAAGTTGAGGCTGTAGTCGAACTCATGCTGAGGACTTAGGCACATCAGGTAGATAACTTAGTAGGAAGGACTTAAGATGTCATAAAGAGAGAGGTCAAGTTCTATTTGAGATGATAAACTTAAGTCTGAGTATCAGATCATTTAAGAATTGGCGGATTCCTTGACTCCTTCCTCTAAACCTTGAACTCTTCATTGTTTAAGGTATGTTTATTTGGGCTGGCAAGTGGCTGGGTGCAGAAGGCGCGATGGAAGAGGGCAAGAATTGCTTCATCAGTGACTGATCCTCAGGCCATACCGCAATACCTCAGGATATGGTAAGTTCTTGAGTATGACCTTTATGATATAAACCATTTCTTCCAGATACAGATGCTAAGATTATAACTGGAGAGCTGATATAGTGTTCCAAGGCAGCAAGAAAACTTTAGAGCTTGGATTAGGATGTCGAAAAAGATCAAGCTAAAGACCTTTTAACTCTATACTTAACTTAACTTACTCAAATCTTTGTGTCATGGAGTTGGGATCAAGTTTCTTGCCTCCCCTCCCCTCCCCTCCCCTCCAGCTGCTTCTTACATGGGGGTGTAAGTGTTTATGCCCCCCACTAAACGGCATACATGCATCTCAAATCCATTTTAGGAGCCTACCTAGTAGCCTAGGAACTTAACGAACCCCACTTGACCACTGTAATCCGCACTAACTCCGGGGGCTAGTGACGCACCTGGTCCCGGAGACAAGCAGTTAGTTACATCGGAGAGCTTTTGAACCTCGATAGTTCTCGTCGAGGGGCAAACACCGTTACCTTGCTTCTCCTCTACATCCAACGCTTGCGACCCCTTGACGAGGAAGACAATATGGCATATGTCGCACCTATCCATCGCGCTACAAGCATACGCCATGCCCTGCGGGCGAATGTGCTCTCTCCTGATATAGATGACTTGGTCGTGGCGTAAGAGCTCCAACGCCTTCGATGACGCCTCGAGCAAATGCTGATTGAGGCTTCACAGGAAGGCGAACCGACTCGAAATATGGCGACTCACAGAAGAAGGCCTCGTGTGCCTACAGACGAAACTCATCCATGGATCAATAGCGATGCTGCAATGTTTACGACCCAAAGGTTCAGAGACTGATCTATTGTTTATTGGCACCGATAGGCTGCATTACTTCAACCTGGTGTGGAACCCGTTAACAAAGCAACTGGAGACCATCGAGCGCGTTATCGAAGACCTGGCAGAGCCATATATGCGACATTCGTCAAGTCAGAACAAATGTCTTGTTGATCCGACCGGACGATTCCTAGCCATGCACCTTTGGGAGGGAGTGCTGAATGTTTTTAAACTCCCCATACGCAAAGGCTCTACCAACAAACTGGAACGGCTCGACCAGGTCAGACTCACAGAACTCTTTATGAAAGCAAGCGCTTTCATCCACAGCCGAACTGGTCACCCGACCATTGCCTTTTTGTACAAGACACAGCTAGAGCAGGAAGAAGCTCGATTGGTCATATATAGGTTGACTCACGATGACAAAGGAAACACTGTTTCCAAATTCGACCCCCATAAAGACAGAGAGCTCGACGTGGTCATTCCTGACCCATACGCCTCAATGCTCATTCCTGTTCCATTAGATGAGGAGAAGCGTTACCATGTCCGCAACACCGAAGGGGCAAAGGCACATTTAGGCGGCCTCTTAGTCATTGGAGAAACTCTTCTAACTTACTTTGATGGCCTGACACACAGAAGTGTATCTTCGGTTCTTCAGGACCCGAGAATATTTGTGTCCTGGACTGAGTACGACGGTACACACTACTTGCTGGCTGATGACTATGGACGACTGGATCTGTTGACGATTGACACAAACCTGGAAACCACCGGTGTTGTTGTGACCGGCATGACGCTCGAGCCTCTCAAGATCGGTCGCTCACCAGCCATCACATCCAGGGCGTCCAATCTGGTATATCTTGGGGATAACACCTTATTTGTGGCTTCACACCACGGCGACTCGCAGCTTTACCAGATCGACGTGGAAAGCGCCACTGTCACACCGATCCAGTCCTTCTCAAACAATGCGCCCATTCTTGATTTTTCTATCATGGATATGGGCAACCGAGATGGCGATACTCAAGCTGGCAATGCCTTTTCGTCTGGCCAGTCAAGAATAGTGGCAGGCTGTGGTGCCTACCGCGATGGGAGCCTTCGAAGTATTCGAAGCGGTGTCGGTCTAGAAGATAGAGGTGTTCTAGACGAGCTAGAGGGGACCAGGGGCCTATTTACCCTTCGCTCATACGCGTCTGACCTGGTAGATACCCTGGTCGTTTCAGCGATCACCGAGACAAGAGTTCTCAGTTTCGACCGTGAGGGTGGAATTGAAGAGATATACTCTTTCCAGGGCATGTCACTCGATACCGAAACCCTTTGGGCTTCAAATCTTCCCAACGGACAGTTGCTCCAGATCACTCCTCGCCTAGTTGTCTTACTCGATCCCGAAAGTGGCACGGTAACCAGTAAATGGGACGTTCCAAGCGGCAAGTCGATCACAAGAGCGTCAGCAAACAGCAAGTGGGCATTGCTTTCGGTTGATGGAATATCTCTTGTCTCATTGAATCTCTTACAGAACCTTGCTGTCAATGTTCAACAAAGCCAAAACAACTCAGGCTCGCAAGCTGATCAAATATCATGCATACATGCTGCCCGGGATCCACCAGATCTTGGTGTGGTCGGCTGGTGGTCTTCTGGACAGATCTCGTTGATAGATATGGCTTCCTTGAAGCCACTCCATGGAGAGTCCATGAGGCAAACTGAGGATAGTGCTACAGTCCCAAGAGACATTGCACTTGTCCAACTACACCCCCCTGAGATATCGGGACCTACACTTTTGGTCGCAATGGAAGACGGCAATGTGGTTACGTTCAATGTATCTACCAAGGGCTTCGCAGTCTCTGGTCGCAAAAGCGTGACTTTGGGTAGTAACCCAGCTCGACTACATATACTCCCGCAACAGGATGGTACGTCGAATGTCTTTGTGACGACTGAGCATGCCAGTCTCATCTATGGCGCCGAGGGACGGATCATATTCTCCGCCACAACCGCCGATGATGCCACATTTGTTGCACCATTTGACTCCCACGCCTTCCCAGATTCAGTGGTTCTGTCTACAGACCAGCATATTCGAATCTGCCATGTTGATAAGGAGAGACTCACACACGTCAAGGCTCTCCCTGTCAACGAGACTGTCAGACGGGTAGCCTACTCCCCCGGACTGAAAGCCTTTGGTCTAGGCTCCATCAAGAAGGAGTTAGTCGGCAACGAAGAGGTTGTGTCGAGTTCATTTAGGCTTGTCGATGAGATTGTATTTAAGGAGCTTGGTTCACCTTTCCCATTGAATGCTTCAAGCAGTCTTGAGATTGTCGAATGTGTCATTCGTGCTGAGCTCCCCGATGTTGGCGGCAATCATGTCGAGAGATTTATTGTTGGTACGAGCTTCATCAGTGATGGGGTGGAAGACCCAAACGGCACTGGCGGCCGGATCCTGGTCCTCGGAGTCGACTCAAATCGTCAGGTGTACCAGATTGTCTCTCACAATTTGAAAGGCCCTTGCCGATGTCTAGGCATTGTTGAAGATAACATTATTGCTGGACTGTCCAAGACAGTTGTGGCCTATAGTTTCTTGCAAGAGACGAGCAGTTCCGGCTCACTCCAGAAGCTCGCTGTTTATCGCCCAGCTGCCTTGCCTCTGGATCTCGACGTATCCGGCAACATGATCGGTGTGGTTGATTTGATGCAGTCGCTATCATTGGTTGAGTTCATCCCCGCACAGGATGGCAACAAGGCCAAGTTAGAAGAACGGGCACGTCACTTCGAACCTCTATGGGCCACCTCGGTCTGTCATATTGAAGGAGAGAGGTGGCTGGAGGCTGACTCAAAGGGCAATCTCGTTGTCCTGCAACGAAACGTGGATGCTCCGACAGAGCAAGACCGAATGCGCCTGGAGATTACGAGCGAAATGAATATTGGCGAGCAGATCAACCGAATTCGAAAACTTAATGTCCCAATGGCGGAGAACGGAATCGTCCATCCACGAGCGTTCCTCGCTTCGGTAAGCACAAGCTGCATTAAAACGTGAGACGTAATCTAATAAGAAATAGGCCGAGGGCTCGTTGTATCTTTATGGTGATATTGCTCCTCAGTACCAGGACCTGCTTATGACGTTCCAATCCAAGATGGAAGAGTACATTCATGTACCAGGAAGCGTCGAATTTAAGCTATGGCGTTCCTTCCGTAACGAGAACCGGGAGAGTGAAGGGCCTTTTCGATTTATAGACGGGGAGATGGTTGAGAGATTCTTGGATATGGATGAAGGGAAGCAAGAGCTGGTTTGCGAAGGCCTTGGACCAAGTATTGAGGATATGCGCAACTTGATTGAAGAGCTGAGGAGAATGCATTGAGATGGTTCTCATAGATTAATGAGTTATGTTGTTCTGACTCTCACTTGGGTTGTCTTTACATGGATGATAGTTGGTTGCTAGATGTTCAGGACGAATGGGTCAAAGATGATTGGCCAGAAGCCATGAGGTCATAGAGATGTTAATATGAGTCCATTGAGTCGTGACTGGTGTAAATGATGTACCCCGAGAGGCTGGGCCGAGGATATATCGAACTTGTTCTCTATTTGAAAGTATTTTTGTGTCACAATGAGCGATTCTCCATCTTTGTAGTCATTGTCAAGTTGAAAGCTGTAGAGGCAAGAAAGGAACCTAGATGCCCGGGATAGACCGGAAACCCCACCCGAAAGTGACCGGACCAATGACGAGGCTTCAATTTCCGAGCTCAACTAGATCTGGTAGCCTGAGGCCACAGTTTGCAGCCAAAACTTTCGGCAAAGCATCATCAGCCGATTACCACCAAGGAAAAGACCTCAAACCTTCCCTTCGACGCCCTCACCCTCGCAACCGCCACACCCCACGATCCCTCACGATGGCGACCCTCGCGACCGCTTCTCGTCTCTGCTTGCGCACGGCTGCAAAGCCCGCCGTCCCTGCTGTGCGCGCCCTCAGCACCACCGCCGTTCGAACCGACAGCGCGTCCGCCTCCGGATACTCCAGCCCTTTCAAGTTCCAGGGTGAGAGCAAGGGCGCTCAGATTCCCAACTTTGGAAAATATGTCTCCTCCGGCGGCGAGACAAAGAACAAGCTCTACTCGTACTTCATGGTCGGTGCCCTCGGTGCCGTCAGTGCTGCTGGAGCCAAGAGCACAGTTCAGGGTGGGTTGAAATCCGGTTCTAGGTCCGGTGTCTTGCCATTGGGTTGCAATTGGTGTTGTACCTTGTTGGCATGATGTCCGGGATGGTCAATTGATGGTTACTGACGATTGAATGACAGAGTTCCTGGTCAACATGTCTGCTTCCGCCGACGTTCTGGCCATGGCCAAGGTTGAGGTTGATCTGAGCTCTATCCCCGAGGGCAAGAACGTGAGTTGGGATATGGTCTAGCACAAACGAGGCAGCGTTGCTGAACGGTTCTCCAGGTTATCATCAAGTGGCGAGGCAAGCCCGTCTTCATCCGACACCGAACCCAGGACGAGATCGACCAGGCAAACAAGGTCAACATCTCTGCTCTTCGAGATCCCGAGGAGGACAGCGCCCGTGTCAAGAACCCTGAGTGGCTTATCATGTTGGGTACGTGACTTGGATCACTGGTATAACATTTGAACCTCTATGCTAACAAATCCTTAGGTGTCTGCACCCACTTGGGTTGTGTCCCCATTGGTGAGGCCGGTGACTACGGCGGTTGGTTCTGCCCTTGCCACGGTTCTCACTACGATATCTCCGGCCGAATAAGGAAGGGTCCTGCCCCTCTCAACCTCGAGATTCCCGAGTACGATTTCCCCGAGGATGGCAAGCTGGTCGTCGGTTAAGCGGACCATGTAAGAGTACATCTTTTATAACGGAGAAACGAAGGAAAGGAAAGATGGGAGTGGGAGCGCATTAGACTGGCTGGCGGGCGGACCACAACACACAACACTCGACGCATGCCCAAACCGAGGCCCCTGGGTGGGCGCAAGTTTGCTGTTTCTTAGACGTGGCCTTTCTGTCCATTTGTATAAAAATAAAACGTCCTAGGAAAAATCTCAGTCAACAGGCTCGAAGAGGGGGGTTGAGGAGAAGACAAGAGCGGGAGAGTGAGTGCAAGATACATCTCGTGTACGAGGTGTTGTACTAATTGAATTTCATTGCCCTTATTCTGAGGTGATATGATCATTTGAAGTGTGAGAGTATTACTTATATTCAACAACAGACTTGTATGTTTTGTAACGGGCATCTATTAACTTCAAAGTCGCGTACAGATCCGACGTTACTCGAATAGGCTCATCAGCCCTGTCAAGTCGAGAATTATAGAACATGACTACGGAGAACGTAACTTTATTAGTATATTCTAGCATGCTACGGGTACAAAGTTGATAATGGATCAAGAATGGAGTTGCATAGTCAAAACAGAGTTTCCAACATACTTGACAAACTGTAATCACTTTTATCTAGTTGAATCTCCATACCAGTGCATTTATATGCACCCTGTACCATAACGAGGCCTGATATCACACAATATCATGAGTATAAAACATTCAGTCATGAACGGACACCCAAGCTTTTGATTCTATACCTGACAATCCGTACTCATTACATTTCATCTTAATGACCATGTCCATCATCCTCCCTCTGCTCAGGGTCCAACTTGATCAGGGTATCGATACGCATGATGCTGATGCAGGCTTCGACAGCACTCTTGAGTTGTCGGACCTTGCTGAGACTGGGCTCAAGCACACCCATCTTAATCTCGTCAACAACCTTGCCCTTGGCGAGGTCAAGGCCATAGTTCTTATAACCCTTCTTCTTGGCAATGGTCTTCTCATCCTCGCTACCGTCACCCTCAGCGATGCGCTGTGACAGAGCGTGCCTTGATCGAAGCTGGGCAGTGAGCTCTGCGGCGTCCTTGGCAGCGTTAACAGCCAGGGTCTTAGGAATAACAAGAAGAGACTGAGCAAACTCGCCAATGGCGAGTTGTTCCCGGGAGCCGACGGTACCGGCGAACTCCTCGAGGTAGATGTGGAGGGCGGTCTCGACGGCACCACCGCCGGGAACGATGCTGCCACTCTCGAGAGTTCGCTTAACAGCGCACAGTGAGTCGTGGACTGATCGCTCCATCTCGTCGAGAGTAAAGTCGTTAGGGCCACGGAGAATGCAAGAAGCAGATGAGTGAGCCTTGGTTCCCTTGACCAGAATGCACTCATCATCAGAGATGCGCTCCTGGACGACTTCCTCGGCGTAACCTAGATAAGAAGGTTCGAACTTCTCGTCACCGTTAAGGTCAGAGAGTGTGCTGAGCATGGTGGCACCGGTTGCTCGGGCAATTCGTCGAAGATCCTCCTTCTTACATCTTCGCACACCCATGGCACCCTTCTCAACAAAAGTCTTAAGCACCAGATCGTCAATGCCCTTTGTTGTGAGAATGACGTTGGCGCCAGCCTTGAGGATCATCTCCACTCGGTCGAGGACCATGCCGGACTCACGGGCTCGGATCTGCTCAAGCTGTTGAGGGTCGTCAACAGTGATCTGAACACCAAGCTTCATGCGTTCCTTTTGCAAGTTCATGTCCAAAACAGCAATCTTGGCATCCTGGATCCGTGTAGGCATGGCTTGCGAGGCGACAGTGCAGTTCAAGGCGTATCCCTTTACCAGGACAGACTCGAGTGTGCTCTTTCCGTGAGCCTTGAGGATGTTGACAGCCTTGACGGGGTACTTTGTCTCGTTTCGGTTGTTTGTAGACTTGACAGCCTGCATGGCATCTACAACCATGTCGGCGAAGAAATCCGAGTCGGCTCCAATGATCTTGCTGGACATGGAGGTCTTGGCAATGCTAAGGAGGGATTCACGGCCAAGGTCGTCAACCTTGATGCTAACATTCTCGTTGAGGTACTTGATAGCCTCTCGCAGGGCAAGTCGGTATCCTGTAATGATAGTGGTAGGGTGTATCCGGTTCTTCATGAGTTCGTTTCCGCGACGTAGCAACTCGGCAGCGATGAGAACGACGGAGGTGGTACCGTCACCGACTTCCTTATCTTGTTGTTGCGCGAGGTCAACGAGAATCTTGCCGGCAGGGTGCTCGACGTCGAGGAGGCTGAGAATGGTGGCACCGTCGTTGGTAACAGTAACATCCTAGTATAAAGTGTGAGATATAGTCGAGCGCGGAGCGAGGAGGCTAAGTTGCATACACCAATATCGTCCACCATCATCTTGTCGAGGCCGCTGGGACCGAAAGAACTCTTGACAACATTTGCGATTGCCTGTGTAGCGAGAACTGAAGGTCCATTAGCATGTTGTCCATATTTGAAATCCAATATCAAAGGCTCATGTCTCCCCCCACTTCCCCCTAACATGTAGCAAAAGGCGGGACAAGAAAGATACAGACAGACATACCATTCTGGTCTCTAATATCAGAACCGGAGATCTTCTGGCCACCCAAGAAAAGGGTGCCGTTTCGGGGCTGCTCGAACATGGAAGCCATAGTTGCAGCTATGGGTAACGTTGACAGTAAAAAGGCGGCTTCGTCAACGTGGGGATGGAGTCAGGAAATTCTACCAGCAGGCTACCGTACGCAGACAGAACCTGAGCTGTGAAGCTCCAGTGCCCCTCGCTCGACTGGACTTTTTTGTCGGAGGCTGGCGTTATTCCGGCGCCGACTGAAATAGGTACCAGCTGCCGCGCTGTGTGCTGGTTACAGGGCGTATATCGGATACCCACCCGAAGTCCAGGGCACTTGACAGAAGGTGCACGGACCCCTGAAACCCCAAAACTAACCCCTGCCGCGTTATCGGACTTCCCTGCAGCTGAGCGACCGCTGTTTCAATTGGCTGATAGGGCATTGGGCCTGAATTTTGGGCTAGATTTCCAGCGGTGCCGCCGTGAGAGTCGAGAGTCAAAGCCCGGGCGGGAAGGAGGGGCAATCGCACAGCACCAACTGCACCTCGACTGCGGGGCACAAAGTCACTCCGACGTTTACTTCGACTCACACCCCGAAGCCTTTCTTCTCCTTCTCCCCCCTCAACAGATAACGTCGCTTCTCTGCTTCTCGATTCTTGAAAGGCGCGCAAGCCACTGTTCGGTTGCCTTGAATCTACTATCATCCTCTATTACTTTTCTGTCAATTACCTTTCAACTAACACACGAATCTCACCAAAATGGAGGGCGCCGCCGAACAGTCCAAGAGCGCCTTGAAGAAGGCCGAGAAGCAGGCTCGTCTCGCTGCCGAGAAGGCTGCCAAGGCTGCTAAGCAAACCAACCTTCCCGTCGTCGGTGGAAAGAAGGCGGACGAGATCATTGGAATTACAGTGTCCAAGGCCGAGAACTTCCCCCAATGGTACCAGGAGGTCGTCCTCAAGGCCGAGATGGTCGAGTACTACACCGAGATTTCGGGTTTCTTCGTTCTCCGACCTCTTGCCATGCACATCTGGAACGAGATCCGAAAGTGGTTCCAGGCTCACATTGAGGAGATGGGTGTTGACGAGACCAACTTCCCTATGTTCCTGTCTTCCAAGTCGCTCGAGAAGGAGAAGGATCACGTCGAGGGCTTCGCCCCCGAGCTTGCCTGGGTCACCAAGGCGTAAGGATGCCCATACAAATCATTTTGCTTTTGTGAACCGTAACTGACAACCCTCCAGTGGTGACAAGGACCTCGAGGTTCCTGTTGCAGTCCGTCCCACCTCCGAAGCCGTCATGTACCCCTACTATGCCAAGTGGATTCGTAGCCACCGAGATCTCCCCTTCCGCCTCAACCAATGGAACTCCGTCGTTCGCTGGGAGGCTAAGCAAACAACTCCTTTCCTACGAACCCGTGAGTTCCTCTGGCAGGAGGGCCACACTGCTCACTTGACTGAGGAGCTTGCTGGTGCTGAGGTGCTCGAGATTCTTGAGCTTTACGCTGGTGTTTACGAGAAGCTTCTGGCTGTTCCCGTTGTTCGAGGCCGAAAGACCGAGAACGAGAAGTTTGCCGGTGGTTATTACACCACCACTGTCGAGGGCTACATTCCTTCCAACGGCCGTGGTATCCAGGGCGCCACCTCTCACGCCCTTGGTCAGAACTTCAGTAAGATGTTCGACATCACTGTTGAGGACCCTGCCAACAAGGGCTCTCACATTCACGTCTGGCAGAACTCTTGGGGTCTCTCAACCCGTGTCATTGGTGTCATGGTCATGATTCACGGTGACGATAAAGGCCTGGTTCTTCCTCCCCGCGTTGCCAAGACTCAGGTTGTCATCGTCCCTGTCGGCATCACCAAGAAGACTACCCCTGAAGAGCGACAGAAGCACGAGGAGCAGGTTGAGGACATCCGAGCCAACCTGAAGAAGGCTGGTGTTCGTGTCACCTCTGATTGGCGAGAGGGCTACACTCCTGCATGGAAGTTCAACGACTGGGAGCTCAAGGGTGTTCCTCTGCGTATCGAGTTCGGTCCCAAGGATGCTGCCAAGGGCGTTGTCAGCACTGCGCGACGTGACACCGGTGAGAAGGGAGAAATTGCCATCACCGATGTCGCTACCAAGATCCCCGAGCTTCTCGAGACCATCCAGGCCGACATGTACAGCAAGGCCGAGAAGTCTTTCCGAGAGCACCGACTCACTATCACCAAGTGGGAGGATGTTCTTCCCGCTCTTGACAACAAGAACGTTGTGCTCATCCCTTTCTGCGGTGCCCCCAAGTGTGAGGACCGCATCAAGGAGCTCACCACTCGTGAGGACCAGCCTGACGTCCCCGAGAACCAGAAGCTTGCCACTATGGGTATGAAGAGTCTGTGTGTTCCCTTTGAGCAGCCCGAGGGAATTGTTCCCGGGGAGACGAAGTGTCTCAGCCCTGAGTGCCAGGGTA